GTTCTTGTTGCCCCAGGCTGGAGTGCTGTAGTGTGACCTCCGCTCACTGCAACCTCTGCCTCCCGGGTTCAAGTGATTCTCCTGCCTCAGCCTCCCAAGTAGCTGGGATTACAGGTGCCCACCACCACACTGGCTAATTTTTGTAATTTTAGTAGAGATGGGGTTTTATCATGTTGGCCAGGCTGGTCTTGAACTCATGACCTCAGGTGATCACCCACCTCGGCCTCCCAAAGTACTGGGATTACAGGTGTGAGCCACCATGCCCAGCTCCACCATCCATTAATTAAGCTTCATGGTGTTCACTCAGGCACACAGGTGTTGCTCACATTTGCCAGTGTAAATAGTGATGCACAGTGCCTGAGCCAAGAACACTGTCACTGCAAGCTCCTACCCCTGGCTAAATGCTAATCTGTATTTACAGGACAGTCACTAGTGCTATTATTTTCATTTTACAAATGAGGAAACTGAGTCCTGGAGGGACAAAAAGTCAATTTTCTTAATGTAATACAGTTAAAATAGGATTAAACTTTCAATGTCCTTATTTCTTAACTAGTGTTTTGTCTTTCCATGATTGTGCTTAATTTTATCTGATCAGTACACACACTCGTGTAGAGCTGTAGGGATGCACATGTGTGCATAGACACACACACTATGTGTATGTATATGTTAAACTCAGTGCTTACCTTTGTTGGATGGAAATTCAGCTGCATTGGAGGACTTGACAGCTAGAGAAGCCAGTTTCAGGGGGCAGGAAACAGTATCGTTCAAGGGAAAGTTAGGACAAGGCAAATGAGCTTTTACAGAGCAACCGATTCCTCATGAGAGCCTTTGCATCTCACATGGCTAAAGGAAAGTGCTTTGGTTAGGGGGCTGGAGCTTTGGTCTTGAACAGTGTGCTAGCATTGGCTCATTGGCTAGGGGATGTCCACCATTGGGCTCCCCATTTGAGTGGTCGCTCTGCCTCTCAGGGCAATGTGTGGTATTTCACTGTTGATAAAGCAGAAACTACATGCCAGGCCCTGAGGGTAGGCACTGAGGCAAGCAAGACCAATACAGTGCCCCCGCAGTCCTCTTGGGGCATCGTTTTAGCAGGGCAGACTACCATTAAACAAGAAATGATAAAATTGATCAGTTATGATTGAGATGAGCAGTACAAGGAAAAAGTATGTGGAACTATGAGAGCTCACAGTGGGCCTGAGCTTGCCGGGGGACTCAGAGAAGTGGTCTTGATTTGCTCGTTGAAGGGTAAGAGGACATGTACTAGGTGAAACACCTGGCGGAATCTGGAGATCCGTTTGTGGGGAGGCCCTGGGTGGGAAGTTATAAGGCACACCTGAGTGATGGCTGGCATGAGAAGGCCAGGGTGGCAGAGGTGAGGAGGGTGCATGACAAATCTGACAGCCTGCATGTCACCAGGTGGATTTAGGTCACATCCTCTTCTTCCCTTCTCACCTCTTCCACCCCCACCTCCACCCCTCCACCCCTCCATGCCTCACAAAGTTGGACTGTCTTGCCTGTGAGACAGGAAAGGCATATGTGATGAGGGGACTGTACCCTAGGGGCCCATCCAGGTTATGTGGGGACCTGAGACTTATCCAATAGAGGGTGGGGTCTTGAAGGGAAAAAAAGGTGAAATTATGAAAATAAAGTTTGTGCAAGGCTTCCGTGGGGGGCATGTCAGTGAGGGACCTCTAAGCTGAAGTTTCACCAGCTTAGTGGGGAAGCTCCCTTTGGCACTTTCCCTGTGTCCTGAAAGCTCATAAAGCCCTTGTTTCATCTTGCCTGAGACATTAATGCCATCCTTACCCCGCTTCCTCCTGTTTTCTTCTTAGTTGAGATGGCAAAGCACAAATATCTTATGTTGAAATCTCCTGGAAATTTGGCTCTTTCCTTGACCCCAGTAGTGTCCAAAAGAACATGGGAATTTCCTTTTTTTTTGCCCAAGACTTCCATGATGTTTTCCCTCATAATCAAGGAAGGGAGTGTTGGCTGTTTTTCTTTTGGAAATGTGGAAGGGAAATATGAATTTCCATAGGCAGAATTACTCTGTCTGGTCGAGTCTAGACTGTTCGTTGGCCAGCAAGTTTGCTGGAGCCCACACTGGTGCTCTGAGATGCTGCCCGGACTTATTCTGTGGGCAGGGAACAAATCACTTGGAACTGCGTTTTGGGGAAAAAATTCACAAACATGAGGAGTGACAAGGAAGAAGTTGCATAATAAATAAATTACAAGTAGAAGTTGTCAGCAGGCTCTTCTCTCCAAATCCCACTGAAGTGAGCAAAGCCATCTAACAGTAGTGAAGAGTCTCTGTCATTTGGAACTTAGGGAAGCTGCTGTTCATAGTTGTGAAATGTCAGAGAGGTTGAGACAGACTGAGGGGAGAACTAACAAGTCCTCCGGGACCGTAGAAGAAAGCCCTAAGCCGTCTCCAAGCGCTGCTGCTGATGTCCTGGCAAGCCTCCACAGATGCCAGGCCCTGGCCCAGCCAGCATGCTCTCTGGAAATCTGTGGGTTTTGGCACGCCAGGCCTCTGCCCCAGCTCTGGGTGCTTTTTGGCTGTTGAGAGGCCCAGTCTTGGTTAGAGAAAAGGCACTGTGTCCCTGTTAACTGCTGGCTGCCCCGCCAAAAAACTGGAAAGAATCTCCTTCAGTCTGCTGTGATTCCCTGAGCCTGACAGCCTCATTGCCTTTGACGTTCCCTGTTAGTACTGAAAATTCAGCACAGTCCCATTGCTCAGGCAGAACCTATTTCAAATATAAATTTCCTGCCTCCCCAAGACACAGCAAATAGGGATAAATGACCAGACCATAATCTGAGAGTTCTTCACTCAACTGGATTATCATTCATCTAAGAGCCTCTGAAAGACAGTCTTACACAAGCAGAGGCTGGAAGGACATCCGCCACCACGAAGCTGTCTTGAAAGAGCTACTTGGGGGAGCGCTGTAGACCAGGGAGTAAATCAGATAAGTAATGCACTCATGAAATAGTGACCACAGTTGACTTAGGTCCCCTTGGAGCTTGGAAGAACCCCCTCCCACGCCGGAGAGCTGGCTTCTGGGAGGTAGGTGGGAGTAGAGGCTCTGAGGGGCTCAGGGGAAGAATTCCAACTGATTTGCAAGAAAGAAATTGGCCACTGTGTACTCGTTTGCCACTCAGTCCTGCCCTAACCTTCCTCTCCTGTCTCTCACAGACGGTTTTTGAAAGGAATTGCCATTCAGAGGACTGCGCGGCGGACCTGCAGCTTCAGGGCAAACTGCTGCTGTCTAGGTACGTCAGTGTTTCCTTCGCCGCGTTGTTCTCAGAAGCTCTTTTCTCCTGACTCCAGGCCTCAAACCTGAATGTGCAGATCTCCCCACTGAAGAGGATAAACAGAGTTGATGCATTACAATACTATTTTGTGGTTTAAAACAATGTATATTACAAAATAATTTTAACAAAATCTTTGTTGTGAAGATTGTTTAGGTTTTGTTTTGTTTGCAGTTCCACATATCTCGTAATTGAGCTAATATTTCTAATTTATATGAGTATTTGGGGGAGTGGCTATTTCATGCTTCCTGATTGTATTAAGTTGAATCATGTGAAATTGCCAGTATTTGACCTTTTGGACAATTTCATGTGATTCAACCTATTGTTACATAAAGGTTTATCTCCCCTGCCCCCTGCCCCCCACGCACGCACACACACTCAACATTAGTGTATGCTTCAACAACAAGTAACGTTTCTATGGCAGGAGAGGGCTGAAGGAGGGGGCAGGCTGTCCTGATCCAAGTGAACAGACAGTCTCTTTATTGTTTCAGGATTTCCTCCCTCACTACATGAATCCCCCAAGGCTAAAGGTGAACCGTACAGCGGCCTTCTGTTTCCTCTTTGCCAACCTTTTATTTTAGACTTCATTTAGGGTGAAGGTTCTGGTCCTGATCGTTTAGCCTCATTTCACAGAATGACTTTCTTTTGAAACAATTCCTTCTGAAAGGCTGTTTTAGCCTTGGGGCCAGAAACCCCTCTGTTAGATTTATTACAATTTCTGAAAAACAGTCACCAGTTTTGATAGTTATTTTCCAAAATGCCGTAGCGTGTTCCTTATTTAAAACTATGAGAGTTAAGTTCGAATGAAATGAAATGAATATCCCTTTATGAACCAGTGACTACACTAGGACTTTTTTTTTTTTTAATTATACTTTAAGTTCTGGGATACAGGTGCAGAACGTGCAGGTTTGCTGCATAGGTATACACATACCGTGGTGGTTTGTTGCACCCATCAATCCATCATCTACATTAGATATTTCTCCTAATGCTATCCCTCCCCTAGCCCCCCATCTCCCGACAGGTCCCAGTGTGTGATGTTCCCATCCCTGTGTCCATGTGTTCTCATTGTTCAGTTCCCACTTATGAGTGAGAACACGTGGTGTTTGGTTTTCTGTTCTTGGGTTAGTTTTCTGAGAGTGATGGTTTCTAGCTTCATCTGCGTCCCTGCAAGGGACATGAACTCTTCCTTTTCTATGGCTGCATAGTATTACATGGTGTATATGTGCCACATTTTCTTTATCCAGTCTATCATTGATGGGCATTTGGGTTGGTCCCAAGTCTTTGCTATTGTGAACAGTGCCACAATCAACATACGTGTGCATGTGTCTTTATAGTAGAATGATTTATAATCCTTTGAGTATATATCCCAGTAATGGGATTGCTGGGTCAATGGTATTTCTTGTTCTAGATCCTTTAGGAATCACCATGCTGTCTTCCACAGTGGTTGAACTAATTTACACTCCGACCAGCAGTGTAAAAGTGTTCCTATTTCTTGACACCCTCTGCAGCATCTGTTGTTTCCTGACTTTTTAATGATCACCATTCTAACTGGTATGAGATGGTACCTCAATGTGGTTTTGATTTGCATTTCTCTAATGACCAGTGATGATGAGCTTTTTTTCATGTGTTTGTTGGCCGCATAAATGTCTTCTTTTGAGAAGTGTCTGTTCATATTCTTTGCTCACTTTTTGATAGCTTTTTTTTTCTTGTAAATTTGCTTAAGTTCTTTGTAGTTTCTGGATATTAACCCTTTGTCAGATGGATAAATTGCAAAACTTTTATCCCATTCTGTTGGTTGCCTGTTCACTCTGATGATAGTTTCCTTTGCTGTGCAGAAGCTCTTTAATTAGATCCAATCTGTCGATTTTGGATTTTGTTGCCATTGCTTTTGGTGTTTTAGTTAAATTTAATTGAAGGCTTTTTCTGCATCTAGTGAGATAATCACGTGGTTTTTGTCATTGATTCTGTTTATGTGATGAATTACATCTATTGATTTGCATATGTTGAACCAGCCTTGCATCCCAGGGCTGAAGTCGACTTAATCGTGATGGATACGTTTTTTGATGTGCTGCTGGATTCAGTTTCCCAGCATTTTATTGAGGATATTCACATCAATGTTCATCAGGGATATTGGTCTGAAATTTTCTTTATTTGTTGTGTCCCTGTCAGGTTTGGATATCGGGATGATGCTGGCCTCACAAAATGAGTTAGGGAGGAGTGCCTCTTTTTCTATTTGGAATAGTTTCAGAAGGAATGGTAGCATTTCCTCTTTCTACCTTTGGTAGAATTCGGCTGTGAATCTGTCTGGTCCTGGGCGTTGGTTGGTTGGTAGGCTATTGATTACTGCCTCAACTTTAGACCTTGTTATTGGTCTATTCAGGGATTCCACTTCTTTCTGGTTTAGTCTTAGGAGGGTGTATGTGTCCAGGAATTTATCCGTTTCTTCTAGATTTTCAAGTTTATTTGCACAGAGGTGTTTATAGTATTTCTGATGGTAGTTTGTATTTCTGTAGGATCAGTGGTGATATCCTCTTTGTCATTTTCTATTGTATCTATTTGATCCTTCTCTCTTCTCTTTATTAGTCTGACTAGCGGTCTATTTTGTTGGTCTTTTCAAAACAACCAGCTCCTGGATTCATGGATTTTTTTAAAGTTTTTTTTGTGTCCCTATCTCCTTCAGTTCTGCTCTGATCTTAGTTATTTCTTATCTTTTGCCAGCTTTTGAATTTGTTTGTTCTTGTTTCTCTAGTTCTTTCTCCTTATCGCTTTCAGGTACACCATCAAACATAGGTTTGGTCTTTTCTCATAGCCCCATATTTCTTGGAGGCTTTGTTCATTCCTTTTCATTCTTTTTTCTCTGATCTTGTCTTCATGCTTTATTTCATTAAATTGATCATCAACCTCTGATATCCTTTCTTCAGCTTGATCGATTTGGCTATGATACTTGTGTGTGCATGAAGTTCTTGTGCTGTGTTTTTCAGCTCCATCAGGTCATTTATGTTCTTCTCGCAACTGGTTATTCTAGTTAGCAATTCCTCTCACCTTTTTTCAAGATTCTTAGCTTCCTTGCATTGGGTTAGAAAGTGCTCCTTTAGGTTGGAGGAGTTTGTTATTACCCACCTTCTGAAGCCTACTTCTATCAACTCATCAAACTCATTCTCTGTCCAGTTTTGTTCCCTTGCTGGCTAGGAGTTGTGATCCTTTGGAGAAGATGAAGCATTCTGGTTTTTGGAATTTTCAGCATTTTTGCGCTGGTTTTTCCTCATCTTCATGGATTTACCCACCTTTGGTCTTTGATGTTGGTGACCTTCAGATGGGGTTTCTGTGTGGACATATACTAGGACATTTTAACTTATGATGATAAATAGTCTTTCATTCATCAAAGGAAAGTAATACTAAGATTCCTTTTCTTCATTTTGAGTTTACTGGAGGAAGATGATGTAACACACACACATCCACACATGCACAGCCTCCTCCAAACCACTTAAGTATTAATTAGCTTTACTTTTACTTAGGGCAATAGTAGTAGATTAAAGTAGCACATGTTTTGCCAAGCTTACAAAGTTACTTAAAACTCATGGAATGGATATAGGAATTATTTCACATTAGTACAAAGGGCCTCCTGGGATTATTAGAGAAACTATAAAGAAGCTTCATAAATTTGCAGTTCATTAATTTCAATTTTAAATAGATCTTCCAAAAAGTGTTTTAGGGAAAAAATAATAAGAAATAAAAATATGTGGATTTGTTTTGTCTTGAGACAGACTGGAAATACTGGAAATTTACTTTGGATCATAGAAGCACTTCATGTTTCTATGAATGATCCAAATGTTCACTTGCTCCAAGGTCAGATATTAAGTTAGGGAAGTTCTAACACGCTTGCTACCCATTAGCGGATAAGTAAATCTGTCGCTATTGAATTGTGCTTTTCTTATGTTAAGATGTAAAATTGAAGGCTCAGTAAAGCTTTAGCTTGTGGCTAAAGCTGCGTCCACTGCCCCAGTGTGGCCTTTTAAGTGTGGTCATAACCATTTAATGCTCTGTGAGCCCAGTAATCAATAATGTTATAACAACTAGTGTGATGGCTGGGACCCAGACCCCTATGTGTATCAGCTACCAATTGCCACAAAAAATGCTCCATAACAAATCACCCCAAAGCTCAATGGTATGAACAGTAATCATTGATTCTCATGAATTTTTGGGTCAGCTGGTCCAGGCTGGATTCAGCTGGACTTTGGCTGATTTGTCCATGTATCTGGCTTCAGTAGAGGGTAGGTTCTAAGCTTGGGTGACACCGTTCAGCTCTACTCCCTGTGTCGTTCATTTATTCTTTGGAACTAGTGGACAAGCCTGTGTACATTCTCACAGCAAAGCAGAGGTACAATAAGGCACTGGGAAAGTGCAGTGATTCTTAAGGCCTAGGCTCAGAGCTGGTGCACTCTTCCTCCAGCCTTATTCCATTGGCCACAGGAAGTTACATGGCCAAACCCAAAGTCAAGGGACAGGAAGTTAGTCAGCAGAACTACAAAGCCACACAGCAAAGAGCCTGACTATAAGGAGGAGGTGAAGCTTTGGATCCATAATGCAGTCTGTTACACTATATAACCAGCGAGGTAGCCCTGTCTCTTATCCTGATGCCTTGTTGTTATCAGGGCTATTTCTGCCTTTGTTGAAATTCCATCTTTCTGGAATTCAGACATGAGACCTGGAGACTGGGTGAGAAGATTTTCTGAACCTCAGAAGCAATGCCCTTGGACCGAAGCTCTCAGCCTCTTCTTAGGTTGGGTTATTTTTAGAGGACCCCTGGCCTCTCAAAATAGCCTTTTGGCTGAATCCTCCATTAAAGAAACCTTCATTATACTTTTGGACTCATAGCTGTTCCCACAGGAGCCATCAGAGGAATGTTTACCCATACTTGGATAACAGCCCTGTGGTACAGCTATGGGATTTATCCATACCTT